GTAGGAGACCTACTCCTAGTAGGATTCTACACTTAAATGCTAATAGAACCAGTAGTCCTAATAGCACACATCTGTTGAGTCCTATCATAAGTAGAATTTGAGTCACCATACAACAGATAATCGTGTGGCCACCTGTAGGGTCGAGATAGTGGACCAGAGGGGGTGAATAGTACTTTCTAAAAATTAAATGCACCGGCTAACCGAGATAAATGCAAAAATAAAACTATCAGTCTAGCCAAGACTGCACCCCTCTATCTATATTCTCAAGAACCTTACAAAGATTTTAATTAATCAACTAAGGTGTCGGGCTGGCTAGAGTTTACCTAATCAAATCTAGAAGCAAGGTCACACAAAACTATGCAACTAGTACTTTAAGCAACGGAGGAGCTCCTACACAAGCTAGTATGCAAAAGCACAAAGCCTGAGCTCACTAGCAATGCTCAATAACAAGGCTACTCAATCCAAATTAGAGAGCTCAAATTACTTAGCTATACAAACTAAGCAATGTAACTAGCAAGGCTACATAAGCCAACTAGTTACGCAATAGAGCAACTAATTTTCTACAAAAGTAAACTAGCTACACAAGGGAGCTACTTCTATGCCACACAAGCAAGGAAGATAACTAGCAAGCTACACAAGCTAACTAATTACAAGAGCAACAACACAAGCACAATATATTATGAATGAATGAATACAAGCTTGTGTAGGGGAATTGCAAACCAACGGGATGACAAGATTAACTCGATGATTTTTATTCCGAGGTTCACTTGTTTGCCAATAAGCTAGTCCCCATTATGTCGGTTGTTCACTTTGTGGTTTGCGAGCTAATTGGCACCACGCCAAGCCCTTCACTAGAGCGCCGCAAGAACTACACAAGTGACCATTTTGGAGTTCATGCGCTCATAGGCTCCTTGCCTAACCCACAATTAGGTGCTGTAAGAACTTCCACAAGATGGTGGCGCTCAATGACACGCTCTACTAGCGTTGCTCTTCGAGGCTCCCACGGGGCGAGCACAATGCCCCTCACAATCTCTTCTCTAGAGCTCCACACACTCTTCTTGTGGGCTTCACAATGGAGAACTCATCACCAAGCCGTCTAGGAGGTGGCAACCTCCAAGAGTAACAAGCACCACTCACTTGCAACTTAAACACCTAGTGCCACTCTATGCAATCTCACGATGCAATTGCACTAGAATCACACTCACACTTAATCGGATGATCACTATCAAGCGTATGTGAGTTAGAGGGCTCCCAAACACACTTGCACAAGCCACCAAGGCTAAAGGGTGCTCAGCAACCAGCCCAAGCCCGAGCTCCACCTCTATTTATAGCCCCAAGCCAAATAGAGCCGTTAAAGCCTTCAGAACACTTTTCTGCACGGACACCGGACAACAACATGCGGGCACCTAATAGGGGTGGCGGTGCCCTAACGGTCGAATTGTAATGGCTATTTCAAACTAGCCATTGGACAAGTTGGCACCGGACAGCATGTGGCGGTGCACCGCCCTTGGGGTGGCGGTGCCCCCGCAGCACCCAATCCAACTATTTGCAACTCTTTGGAAAAATAGGGTGGTGCCACCGGACAGGGGGTGGCGGTACCCATGAGGTGCTCCAACTTGATTTTCACCAGTTCAAGGTTGTAGAGCTTTTCAATAGCTTTCCAAAAAGTCCAAGATCATCGAAATCAGAGTTCAGAGCTAAAAGTTATGCCCAAAATACGAAAGGGTGTTGCTGCTGTTTTGGGCACCGTACAGGGGTGGCGGTGCCACCGCCCCTGGCACCGCCCTAGGGGGTGCCCTGTCCGGTGCACACCAGGCATGGCGGTGTCACCCCTTAGGCTGGGCTGCGCATTGGCTACAAGTTTGGTTGTTTTTCTGCCCACGAATAACCCAAACTTCTCTCCACAAGCGATGCTAACTCTTAAAATATTTTCTCAAAACATGTTAGAGCCAAGTTAGCATTTTCAAAAACATTTTCCATAAATATTTTTCACTTGCTCTCATTTTCACCACGCCACTCCATCCTAGCAACATATGCAAAGTTAGACTCAAGTGGTACTAGATGACCAATATGCAAACAAGTTTGACCCTCTTGATAGTACGGCCATCTATTTTAGATCCGGTCATAAACTTCTCTACACATCTATGACCGGTGAAATGAAATGCCTTATAAGTTATACCTTTGTCTTGCGCATTCTATTCCATCTCCTCCATTATTGATGCAACACATGCACCAACCTTGATCAACAGATGATATGATTATCATCACGTGACCTTGTTGGTTCATCGATCTTGACCTCACTTGCTCTTCACCGTTGCTTCGGTCCATCAGCGCCAAGTCTTTCTTAAGCTTCCCCACCACGCGGATTATCGCTTCAAAGCCTCCGACTTGCCCTTCACGCTTGCAACTGGTCCATCAAGCCAAGCCTTGTCTTGGTCTTCTCCACCTAGTCACATGACTCTATGTGATGTCTCATATGCAATAAGCTCCTTCATCAGATATGTGAGCTTTGCAACATATCCAAGCCATTTCCACCTCTATGGCATGTGTTGCTCACACATGTGTACCTGTGGACTAATCACATGTGTATCTCACATTAAACACATATTAGTCCACCTAGGTTGTCACTCAATTACCAAAATCAAACTAAGAACATTTCACCACCTCGGACTTATGCGAAGGAAGTGAAAAACCAAAGCCATGAGCAGATGTTTTCTTTCATGTAAAACCGTATCGTAGAGGGTTTGTGCATATCCTGTGTTCCAAATGCTCTAACCTTCTTCCTTTCCTCCGTTTTGGTTTTCTCCATCTTCCCTGTAAAAGTACTTTGGTCCAACGGAGGTGTTAATATATACTCCCTCTGTCGCTGAATAAATAGATTTCTAGAGTTGTCTGAAGTCAAAAATTTTAAACTTTAATCAAATTTGTAGAAAAAATATTAAGATTTATGGTATCAAATTAGTATAATTAGATTTACCATAAAATATATTTTCATAAGGTGTTTATTTTATATTATAGATGTTGTTACTCTTTTCTATAAAGTTAGTCAAACTTTAGCACGGATTTTAGGAATGGATTTGTTTAGAGACGGAGGAAGTATATTTCACCGTATTATTATGTTTTATGTGTTTGCTATGTAATTTTACGTTATACAAATCACGGGATATAATAGTACCCAAAGTTCGCCATATGTATTGTAGATGCTCCACTATTTTGGCTTCAGTCCTTTTTTTTTTTTTTTGAAAATTTGGCTTGAGTCGCCGGCGGCAGGGCCCAGGCCTAGCCGTAATTCGGACACACGCGCTGTAACAAGGAGTAAAAAGTACCATTGGGGGCTATATTATGGCGGCTCTAGACTCAGGAACCAGATCCTCTAACTTCACCCTCGATGACAGCAGAGTGCAGTCGAAGCATCAGGACCGTCAGCTGCGGATCGGACGATAGCTCTGCAATTCCCTGCAAAAGTGACATGGGCTGCACGAAAGCAAGGCCCATCGTAGCCCACGGGTCCTGCCGAGGGCCGCATCGTCGCCGCTCTCATGCCGAGCGGCACGCCTTCGCCGTCCCAGGCTGAGCCGCCTGAGCGCCGTCGCCGTCCTGGACGCTGCTGGGCTGCAGCGTTTCCACCTCGCCCACGTCCTGCACACCTTATACCAGTGCGGAGCTTGAGTTTGGCTAGCTGCAGACATGGCTCCTGTCACAGGAGCTTTTTCAATTGCTGATTGTTGCAAATTCAGAGATGCACATAATGTTCTGGTGTTCTCTGCCATCCAGTAGGTGTATATGACCTTATTGCTGGTTATATGAACTTTACAATTCTCTGAATTTCAGGAGGCAGAAGGCATTCATACAAATTTGCAAAAAGATATTCAGAACGCACCAAATATCCATGCTACTAGCATTCAGCAATAACATTGATTGCCCCCTGCAAAATAAAAGGTTCAGAAAAACAATGTATGGTTCAGAGAAACAGTCTATCACTTTGAAATTTTACCGTTAATGCTTTGAAACACAATTTGTACATCTAGTCATTCATTTTGATAATTCAGTGGTCACATTCTCACATGTTTAGTCACATTATCTCTTTACAATCTCACAATCCTATGTAACCACTCTGCTATTGAACTGCCAACAATCAGCTCTGCTATTTACAGAACATTCTGAACATCTGAATAACATGGGACACACTCTGAACATTTGACAGCCTGAAACTGCAAGGACGTCAAGAATATCCATGGCGCATCCATGCAAGAAACCCGTTCATGCTCGCAAGCAAGCCTAGCTCTCGTGTAGGCATGATCTACTTGCCGTGAGCCCACGGCCTGCTGCTCGCTAACTTCGCCGGCACACGGAGCAGACCAAGTCGAGCATTCAAAGGCGAAGCATGGCGCGGCACACGGCAGCGAGCGGCGGCGCGGCAAACGGCGGTGAGCAGCAGCGCGGCGCCTAGGTTCTCGTCGAGGGAACTTGCGGATGCGGCCGCAACTCGACGAGCTGTCGACAGCGTGGGCTGTAGTTGGGCCGGACCGGACTGGAGGCTGTGAACGCACCCGTAAGTGCTAGCCAGATGCGCGGACGTCCGATTGTGAAGGAACGACGATCCTTCATCGACTGCACCCGGCAGTCATCCAAGTCGAAGTTAGAGGATCACCTCAAGCAATTCGCATCTTCTCGCTCGCCGGCCTCGTCTCCGAGGCACCTCCGCGCCCTCTTTCAGTCTTGGACTCTTGGTTATTTGCTCTTCTCTGCTCAGTAGTACTACTACCCGGATCTCAAACAACGGCAACACAAGCGGTTCGACCAAGAGATCGAGGCAATCAATCTCTTGTTCTCGGGCGGGCCTCGAGGTAATCTCACTCACCATCTTCTCTGCTCTGATCTCTCCTCTCGTCACCCGAGTTCTCCTTTTTCAAAATCTCGGCTTCCTCCTGCTCCCAGTCCAGTAGCTGACGCCTCTGCTCTCGCCGCCTGTTTCGTAGGAGGAAGCAGCTGGCGAGGCGATGGCCGACCTCAACGACGCCGCGCAGTTCGCGCTCTGCGTGGCGCTGGGCATCTCCTACATCCTGAAGCCGCTGCTCGACTTCCTGGACGGGGCCAACAAGCCGCTCAGCCCGGTCCTCGAGTTCGCCGTTGCCGTGCTCATCGCCACGCTCCCGCTCGCGTACCTCATGGGCATCCTCCTCCTGCAGCTCCAGGTGGCCCCGGGGGCGCCGGCGCCGGCCGTGCCGCCGGCACCCCAGGGGGCGGCGAGGAGGCTCGCTTGCTTCGCCTGCACCTTGGTGTCGGCTGTTCTTGCTGTGCTCGCCGTGGCCCTCATCGCCTTCTGGTTCCTCACGCCGCCGTGAGGTGCTCCTTCCAGATGGATCATGGATGATATGTGGGTCTAGATTTCCTGTGATTTTCCTTACCATTTCTCTGCTCTGGTCAGTAGATCCTGATTCTTGACCAGAATCTAGCTAGCTAACAAGCTCACGAGTCACGCCGGAGTCTTCGATGTGCCGTGCCGCTGCAAGTGGACCCGCCGCACGGGCCTTTCCGGGCTACCGTCGGCGAGACCGAGACCGGCACAACTTCCACTCTTAGCGGTCAAACGGAACGACGGAGGAGGTGGCGTGCCAAGATTAGAATTGAAGACCGTGGTGTCCTGCTTGGCCAGATGAAGAAATCAAAGAGTTACTACTAATTGTAGCTTTGATATGAGGTATGAGTAGGAGTGCTCCCTACTAGTGAATCACTTATTATGGGCTGGTGCTCGATAGTCGTCGATCGCCTCGGCTCACTGGCAGTCGACTACCTGTGTATCAATCGCCATGTACAAAATGCCACCATTCCATTCATCAAATTAAATCATTTTCTTCTTCTTTTGGCTAAATGCCTTGTTTGGGCCTGGGTTTCTAGAATTGGGAGCTGTATGTACATATATTGGAGACCACTATAGCTGTACCTGTACATACATTGAGACCAATTTTCCGTAAGCATAAGCAAATACAGGTTCTGTGTGATCCACGAAGTAACAAAATTCTTTTCACCACCACCGCACCTCAATTGAGTTACTACGGGGCAAGATCTGCCTTGCGTTGCTTTGGCTCCAAAATCAAACAGTATTTTTGTCACTTTTGAATGGTCAAAGATGAGCGGCGCGCGTCATGACAGCATAAACAACAAGAGACAGAGGAATATATTATAACTCATACATTAATACTCCAGTGGGGAGGAATATATAATGCGTTAAAACTCCAGTGTAGATTCATTAAAAAAACTCCAGTGTAGAGGACGAAAGGAAGTGTCCTTGCTTTTCAACCAAGGCCTCGTTTAGTTGGTGAATTTTTTTAGAATGGTATTATAGCACTTTCGTTGTTATTTGGCAATTAGTGTTCAATCATAGTCTAATTAGACTTAAAAGATTCGTCTCGTGAATTTCGTCTAAACTGTGTAATTAGTTTTATTTTTTATTTATATTTAATGCTTCATGTATGCGTCCAAAGATTCAATGTGACGGTAAATCTTGAAAAAAAATTGCAAAATTTTAGGAGCTAAACAGGCACCAAAGACGGAAAATCAAAGGCAAAGGGTACAAGCGAAGTGGCCCATTGGCTGCTGCTCCAAATCCAATTCCATGGCCACACCCCAGCTCGGTTCACCGTTCAACGATGCACTGACATGGCACGGCCGGTCGAGCGGTATACAACGAACTTGGACGTCGTCCTAATTCACCTCAAAATTGTCTCCAAATAACTCGAGGACATAAGACAAACCTTCGTGAGCAAGGAACCTTTATTAACGAAGGATGGGTTTGGACGTCTGGTTGTGAATTCGCGAAATTGTTTATGCTTTCTGCTGTAGAAAATGGGGAGTTTGGTTTCACACGATGGCCTGTGGGGCACTAAATTATTGCGACTTTGTGCCAGGCGGCTGCTACCAACATTTCTTGGGGGAGGGGCTTTCGTGTGTAAAGTTTGATTTTTAGGGCGACGACTCGGCAATTGCTCGTCGTCGTCGTACCCACTTGGCCACTTGGTTGAATTTGCTACACCATCTGGTGCCATTCCATATGCACATAAAAAAAGATGTGGAGGCCAAATTGAATTATTGTTGATCTAATATAAAAAAAAAGGAATTGTTATATATCAGGTTTCTGAATTTTTAGGAATTTGCTGATAACAATCTTACGCAAGATATAACTCACAGTTTTTTCTATAGTCTAACAGTAACAAATTTACAAGTTAACTGAACAACGACGGAAAAAATTAGACACCTGATATATATGAGGAGTGTATTAAAAAAATGCGACCCAAAGCCATTATCCCAATCGGAAAAGGAATTCTCATTTCATCTAAGTCTGTGTGTTAAATAAAGCTCCATGCATATATATCTGATCAAATCGAGCTTAGAAGATGTTGTAAAATAAAATCTTAATTACAGCACCCTTGCTTGGATAAGAAATGGAAGGACCAGTGCATGCTGTGTTGGGTGAACAACGAAGAGCTTGGAATAGATTTAAGAGAAATAGATTGCGCGCACCTGTCTCTGGAAAGTTTCCTTAAAGCTTGCTGCATACATATATAGAAGTACCCTCCTTTTTATCTTGGATTGAGCCCTGCATCGAGTGGACCAGATGGATTGGGTCCACACACCTTTCCTATTCGCTTGAACTTATCAGCTTGGCTTATCAGCCGCAGAAACCATCAGTCGAATAGCCCGAATCTTCCTCGACGATTGACGAACACATCCAACTCACCGTCCATTCCTTGTCCTTATTAGCGTACCACATGCAAGCACCACTGGCTGTTGCTATGCACCTGACGACCTGAACTACTTGTAGGTAGGATAGGTAGGCAGTCGAGTCCAAGTCTCTTACCTGACGCGTGCGCCACTAATGTTTCTGGCGCACACCTGCCTGCCTCGCCCCGCCCGCCATTGCCCACCTCGACCGCCACCGCCCAGGCGGCCGACCTCCCCGCTCGCTGCCCACCCCCGCCAGACGAACCTATCCATCCCTAATCCCAATTGAGGAGATTGCTGGTGACTCGTCACCCCTGCTGCCAGCACCGCCCATCCGGATATCCTCCGCCGCTCGCTCGGCGGCGCCTCGCCACCTTGCTCACTGCCGGCAACCCACCACCACTATCGGGCCAACCGTCGCTCATGGCCATCCCTTTAGAGCCAAAGAACCCTAACCCTAACAACTGCCGCCTCGCCAGCCTCGACCATTGCCTGCGTCGTGCGGCAAGGACGCTGTCACGCCACTCCACCCACACCCCAGCCGCCCCTGCGGCCCTGCCCTCTCCTAACCAAGAGGAAGAGACGTGAGCCTGTCTTTCCCGCCGCTGCCCGCCTCATCCACAATCGCGGCCGGCGACGATCACGCCGCCGCATCGCTCCACCCGCCACCCACCCTCCTCGCGCGCGCCGCCCTTCCCTAACCAAGAGGAAGACGCCGTGCACCGGTGCGTCGGATAAAGATTTGGGGTTAGAGTCATCCCCTGCCGATCGAAGCCGGAGTTGATGGCATGCTGTGGAGCGAGACAGCCCCAGGGCTGGTGGTCATCTCATCTCAGTGGTGTGTGTGTGTGTTCCACGGAGTTGTGATACCGATACGGGTGTGGCCCATTTTTATAGGGGCGTCCGCTTGATAGCCTGAAGCTGTGTTCAAACGGGCATGCCGCATGCATGAACCGCAGACAAGCACGGGGCAAAAAATAGTGCGATTAATTAGATGACAAGTTTGATGTCTCCCTCGCTCTCCCCCGGTCGAAATTCAATTCAACCAAGGACGGGAAATTTCGCCAGGCGTTCGTGAGGCATCAAACTTCGCTTCAGATGCCTGTCTTTCTGGTTGAATTAATCGGGAAACTTCGCAAAATTTCGTCAGGGATCGATCGGAGTTTCTATCTCTTTGCGGGAACTTGGTCGGTCAAATTTAGGCTAGGCGCGTCCGGGCCGGGGAGGTGCCGTTGTTGAACATCTCGGCTGAGTTTGCTTGGGCGCCACTGCAGATGCTCTCTTGCACTTTCTGTTCGGTGATGCATCTATGTGATGTGCACACAGCCACGACGTGCCGCCGCCCGGCTGTGGCCGTCGCACGTTGACGTGGCTGTGCGTGTGACTATGTGCACATGACATCTTGACATGCCGGAGAAGTAAACGGCTAATCGGGTGGCTGGACGAGGTGCTGATTCTCATGGTCGGTTCAGTTCAGATAGCCGTCGGGCCATGGGCTTTGGGAGCTCGGCCAACTTTTGCATGGCCCATTTCTGTATAAATATTCCATGTATTATCGGTATAAATATTCCATGTAAATAAGGCGAGCTCGTTTTTCGGTTTCAATTCCTGCCGTATCAATAGTACGAGCTAATTACTGGCTCCAAGACAACTTATTCTTTTTCGCGAGTGGGTTTACACCTGTTTTTCTTATTCGATAATACCAACTTTTAACACATAGCTTATAACGTAAATAGTCTCACACCACACACTCTCATATAATCTTAAAGTACGTGTATCAAACTAGCTCATGATAAAAAGTTTTCTTCTTTCTTTTTTTCTATTAAAATAAAATAATTTGATTTGAGCTAGCCATATTTCGCTGAAAAGACAAGGTGAAAAGTATTATTCGCTGATTTATTACGAGAGAAAAATACTATTCCTTCACTGAAAAAGTACGGCTAAAAAGACAAGCGAACAGCCATGGCCTCGATCCTAACGGCGCGACCATCAGTGTATTCGCCGCTTTTTCCTGGATTGGAACTGGATGGCCGCAATCCTGACGGGGACGGTGCACCCGCCGCGCCTGTGCGGCTATGCTAAAGTAGGAAGGCGACCCCTGCTAACTTGCCATGTGCGCCTCCGATCCTGCGTGTCGTCGTACTAAAATGTACACGGTCGTCGTCGATGGAAGCATCACAGCATGCAAACGAATTGAGAGCGTTGGTTGCAAACCGGTGCGACATTACTGATGGAAAAAAACAAAACAAAAAAAAGCATGTTGATGATTGATTATGCTGTGACCGTTCTGTGTGCTAGGTGAATTAATCAGAACCCTGAAGACACGTCAACCACTATCGCTTCTCACGTGCCGCAGCGCCTGCTGTCATTCTGGCTGTTGCGCGACGGGAGCACAATGAAAACTCCAAGCTCGATGCCGTTTCCTCCCATGCCATCCATTTTGCTCTCTTGATTCTTGATTGAATTAAGGGTAAAAGCTAAAGGTAAAGGCTCCTCTTGCTGAATCACAAGTTTTCAGAACCGATTCGAGGCAGAGTGCGCGCGGCACGTACGCCCGGACAACGGAGCACATGGTGGGAGTGGGAGGTGAGGGCATGCTACAACAATCTCTGTGTCAAAGTCT